ATTCCTCCTGCAGTTTCTCAAGTAGCATAATGGCCTTAATTTAGTTAATATTCAGAACATACTTTCATCTCAGTAACCAGAAGTGAATATTGCTGGTTAAGCTGGAAACTGCCATTGGCAAATTTGGGAAATAAGCGTTTTTATAAGTTGGTTTTTCCTTTCTATTGTTCAGGCATCAGGCATTGTGTGCTTTTAAATTGCAAGGTGTTTTAGATGCTTTCAGGATAAATAATGTTTTATGTAGCAGTGAGGAGCATGGACTTTAGTCAGACACACCTGGGTTTGAGACTCAGCTCTGATGCTTGCTAGACATGTGATCTGAGAAATGTTCCCTGTCCCTCTGAATCTCAAGTTTTCACCCCAAATAGGAAAAAATGCCATCTTCTTGCAGTATTGTCAGGACCAAACACAATAACATACGTTACCCACAAAGTGCAACTACAGACACATTGGAAGTGTTCACTAGGTGGCAGCTTTTGTTGTTATTCAAGACAAAATTTTTAAGAAGCTTATCCAGATAAATGTCTTAAGCATTAGACTACACTGGAGCTTGCCTTAATGGTAGGGCTTGAGGAATGGGTAACATTCCTAAAATTCTATCCTTGAAATGTTCTTTAGATGATTAGCATTTACGATGCAAAGACAGAACAACTTCAGATAGGACCGTATTCCTGGATGCCATTTCCTCATGTGGATTTCTGGTTGCAGCAAGATGATAAAGAAATACTAGAGGTGAGAATTTACAGGTTGGGTAAGTCTTAAATCTCTGGACCCTGGTTTCCCCATCTGTAAGAAAAAAAAGGGTTTAGACTAGGTAATAGCTGCTTCCTTTCAGTGGGTAATATTTATTTTTGAATACCCCCACTTAACCTCTGTATTAATTGGGGGTAAGTAGTGTCCTGGATAGACATCTATATAGGTGAAGCAGTAAGCAATCAACTGCTTCTTTTTTATTAACCCAGTATACCTTATTTCTTACATATTTTGCTGTATTAGAGCAGATGCTAAAAAATGTACACACATTTTAAAAAACTATTGAATATAAGTGACATTGAACATCTGCTGAACTTTAGAGTATTACAAATTTAACAGTTTTTTCCTTTTTAAAATGTGTATACATTTTTAAGTACCTCTGTGTGTATACACATATTTTTAGACATAGAATGATCTGACAACATTTTGACATCTTTATCAAAGTAGGGGATAGCAAGGTAACTCTTCTCTCATGCCCATAATGTTGTTTTTGCAGAACTTTTCCACTTCACCTTTGGCTGAGCCGCCCCACTTTGTTGAACATATTAGATCTACCTTGATGTTTTTAAAAAAACACCCATCTCCAACTAACAAGCTGTTTCCTGGAAATAAAGCTCTACTCTACAAAAAAAATGAAGATGGTGGCTTATGGGAAAAGATCTCTTCTCCAGGAAGCTAAACGTAGGATATTACCAAAGAAAGCAACTTTTTGGCATGACAAAGACCATTGATGGGGGCTGGAAAGAATATGGATTTGGAACCTACATCCATTGAGCTCCTTTACTTGGCATCTTTCAAATGACTTTCAAAATAAATCTTATTTTGGCAAAGGCATTTGTTTCCATTTACTTTCTGCTTTACTAAAAAGTTTATGTCTGGCTTTTCCTTTTTGGTCAGTAGCAATGGGCAGAGGAGAACCTACCTGTCTCACTGGTCTACAAGCAGCCATTTCAGATACTTGGGTAAATACTTCTAATTCTGCTAAATTAATGAATAAATTAAAAATTGTAATTTAGTGTTTGAAAAACCAGTATTTAAAATTCAGTGAGAATTTATGCATCTCACGGAGGTGTGGGGTTTTTTTGGCCCCAAAATATCAGACGCTTCCAATCCAAAACTGCTCTATTTCTAGATAAATAAAAGGTTCAGAAAGAAAAACAGGCTGGGTTTTTTGTTTTTGAGACAATCTTACTCTGTTGCCCAGGCTAGAGTGTTGTAGCATCATAGCTCACAGCAACCTCAAACACATGGGCTCAAGCAATCCTCCTGTCTCAGTGTCCTGAGTAGCTGGGACTATAGGCACTTGCCACAAATGCCTGGCTAATTTTTCTATTTTTGGTAGAGATGGGGTGGTCTTGCTCTTGCTCAGGCTGGTCTTGAACTCCTGACCTCAAAGGATCCTCATGCCTTAGCCTCATGAAGTGCCAGGATTACAGGTGTGAGTCACAACACAACCGGCCAGAAAAATAGTCTTTGATCTCAGTTCTCAAATTCTCTCTAAAATAGCTAACCTCATATGAAACTGTTTAATTTGAGTCCTACGAAGCCACTGATAAATCTGTTCTGGTCATTAAAGTGCCCAAATGGTAGCTATTATGCACATAGTGGTTAGTAATTACTTGGGTAAATACTTCTGATTCTGCTAAATTAATGAATTTAGAAAGCTTTGATTTTTCTGAAGTTGCTATCTTAAAGGAAATCACCATGCCTATTAATGGTAAGAGTTATAAACTGAATTCACTGTTAACAATTTTAAGAACCTTTATTGAAACCAACATTCAAATAGAATCTTGAGGGTGAAATGTTTCAGCAAAACCAATTTAACAATTCCAAATATATATAAAAACATTTAAAAATTAATCTTGTTAAAGTTGATAATTTACCCCTCCCCCATTTTATCTGTTATTCTTCATTGCACCAAATAAACAGGGAAGACTTAGTTTAATCTTTAAAAAAAACTGCATTTTGACAAGTGCCAAATGCCAAAAATCACATCAAATCAGAATGTAATTAGAGGCTAAATGTGGTATAACTAAGGCGTCCAATACTACAGATCCACAAACCCAGTATGAATCACGGCCATTTTAAGATCTCTCATAGCTTGACTTTGTTGGACTAAAAAGGCATAGGGGCTATTACTTAGGATAAACAAAGTAATGCTGTACTTTGAAAAAGTAGAAATGGACAATAATTAAGAGCTTACTAATAATAATTTGAGCAAGTCACCTGGCTTGATCAGCCTGAGAACATTACTCTTCTTGGGTGTGAGTTGGGCCCAAGGGGTGAACTGCTAGTGCAGCAGAGGCTATCAAAGCTTCATTCAGTGTGGGACATTCAGGTCAAAGGCATATTTTGGAACTTAAGCCTAAGTAGGTGCTACGCAGCATATTTAAGAGTAGGTAGCATCTATCAGGTTCTTAGATATTAAACAGAGAAATAAGCACTGTCCTTGTGTGCCAATTTAAAAGCTTTACCAGTATTTAAAAATATACATATATATGGTCAGGAAGAGACTTTACAGTTACTCTTAATAGAGGAGTCCTTAAATTTGTTTACAAAGAGTATATAAAGGGAGAAATGGATTGTGGCAGAGGACAGTCCCAGACAGAAGCCCTACCACAGCTCAAGTGGACACAGTCCTTACTTAAGTCTCCAAGAAGAGCAGCAGCTGGGGGTGGCAGGAGAGAACTTCTGACACTCTTATTTACAATCCCATGGAAACCTATTCTCCTTTAAGCCGAACAGTCCAATTGTATACTGCAACTTGATCATTAACTAAAGACCAACTAAAACATATGGCAAAGAACGCTATAGTGCCTCTGCAGATGTACAGCAGAGAACCCAGAGAGTTCTAATAAAAGCTGTTTTACCAAAAAGTTACTATGTGCAACCTAATGACTCATGCCTATGTTTAGAAAGATAAAAGCAAGTGTTTCAAGTGGCAGGCACTTGAAATTCTGAGTGTTCTTTGTGACTATAAAGTGTTTGTGGTAATTTAGGAAAAAGATGGCATTACTACAGTTGAGTAGGACGGAAACAACAGATATTAGTTGATCTACGTACACATAAAATTAGACAAAATGATTGCCTTCCTAAAAAGCCTGGCTTTCAGGCACATATTTGTGCAAAAACCTCAGTTAAGCACAAATAACAGTAATTTATATTGTATTAGGATGTGGCACAGTTCACATTTTCAATACAATTTCATCTTCCTGAAACAATATTCAGTACAGTCTCAAACCAAACACTGAATTTTTATCTTAAGCTCTCCGGTTCTTCTACCTGTGGGGGGTCATCTTCTGGGTGCTCGGCCTTCTTCTGGAGGACCTCAGTCTTGTCAGCCTTCTGTGGGGTGGGTGCCCCTGGGTGTCCCTCAGGGCTGCTGGACTCGAAGGTGTTGTGCTCCAGCCCACTGGACAGGTACTCGGCCTTTTCTAAGTCTTCAATGTGACTGACTGAGCTGGTCTCACTCAAAGCATCTGAACCCCTCAGGGACCTTTTAAAAGGCTTCTGGCCTATAGAACAGACAGACAGTGGTGAAACCTTGGTGGCACTTCTGAACAAAGACTTTCTGAGACAAGTAACTGCTTTATTTAACAATAGCTGCTTCTTACTGGCTCTGAAGCATTTTAGGAGATTCGAGAGAACTGAGAGCTGATACCAACATGCTCCCCAGGCTGGGATCTTCTGAGGCAATCTTAGGAAATGCTCAGAAGAATAAGCCTTGTTGTTACAATAATGCTATCTCTCAAGACCCTGACGTTACCCCTTGGCATGCTACAGAAATGGTTACAAAGAGGCAGTAGTTGGTCTTAGGAGAAAGAGGTCTTTGCTTTAACCCCCAAAACAAAGGAATGCAAGCAACAGCAAAGGGGTGGTGGGATATACCTGAGGCAAAGGTCTAGTCTCCTAGGAGAAATACAAGCAGATTTCTTCAGTTTTAATGAACTCAACCTTATTACCTGGAAGTCTCTGTTTAGGGCGACTGCCTGAGGGGGTTGGAGGTGGCGTTACTCCCGAGCCTTGTGCTTTGTAGACATATATGGGTTCTGTGGATACCAGAGAGCCTGCCGGGGGAGAAAGAGAAGGAGGGTGGGCAGAAGCGCTGGGCACAGGCCACCCTGGGAAACACCACCTGGCCTCACACAGCCTTGTTCCCTGGCAAGCTGCTTCTAGGCATTCAGCTTGCCGGAGACTGGTAGAGACCTTCGGCACTTCTGAAACATGCCATGAACTGTAGAAAACCGCTTGTAAGCCCCAGCCCTCTGAGGCTCCTAAGTACTGTGAGCACTTAGCCAGCAAAGTGGTACTTGAGTACATGGGGAACCAGGCCCTACTGAGAAATGTACTTCAGCAATGAGAAACAGATGCCTCCTTACTAAAAGCTAAGGCTTTGCAGATTAAAAATCTTTTGCTTTAGGTTAGGCATGGCAGCTCGTGCCTATAAGTAATCCTAGCACTCTGGGAGGCCTAGCACTTGGGTAGATCACCTGAACTCAGGGGTTCAAGACCAGCCTGAGTAAAGTAAGACCCTATCTCTAATAAAAATAGAAAAACTAGCTGGGCGTTGTGGTGGGCAACTGTAGTCCCAGCTACTCAAGGAGCCTGAGATAAAAGGATTGCTTGAGCCCAAGAATTTGCTGTGCCACTCTACCCAGGGCCGCTGAGTGAGACTCTGTCTCAAAATTAAAAAAAAAACTTTGGCTTTCACAATAATGTAGTCATCAATTCCTGGGGAAGAAACAAAGGCCTTGGGTTTAGGAAATTATTAACCTTGTAGGACAGGAAAGCAGGAATCACTAATATCTTCCCCAAATTCCAGCAACTGGTTAATATTTGCTGGTTGCCTGGTTTAAAATGTTCCAGGGCTATATATTACAATCTTTGAATTTCCCCTGTCAAAAGCAGTCCTTTACTGGGACAAAACAATAATGAGGACTGCAAGGAATATTAACCTTGAACTAAAATGTCTAAGACACAGTGCCTTCAGAGTCTAAACAGCTAAAGTCACTTGATTCAAGGAAGGAGGCTGCTTGCATTAGGGAATGGGTATCTGCTTTCCTACTATTTCAGCTGTCAGGGTGGGGGGAGGAGGATGGCAGGGCTGCAGGGCAGACTCATCTCCTTAGTTTCCTGGCCCAGTACCAGTGATGAAGAACTGAAGCCATAAAGGGGTTCTTAGTATAAGGTGCTTTGGGACCCAAAGGCATTTGGTCAAAACTCTCTTGGTAAATGAGATTTGGGTGGAGGCTAGTTAGTCATACCTTCTGTTAAGTTAAAAGTTCTTCCTTTCTGTAAAGCTTGTACTGGAGAAAACCAATTCAGCACAGAGCCTACCACGGGTATCTGCCGTAACACTCCCTGCAAAACATAACCATTGCTCAAGAACATCTCATTGACTCCCACTGCCAACCAGGACGTCTCATCAGCAGCCTCACCTCTTCCAGAAGCCGTTCCTCATTTGCCTTCTGCAGTTCAACTTGAGCTTCCTGAATTCCTTTCCGAACAACTTCAGTCATGTTTTCCAGAAGCTATGTTAGGGAACAGGAAAGGCATTACTTGTCTAAGCTTTCTGCCCAGCAACTAGAACTAGTAACAGCACTGGAGATACTTTTCAAATTCTGTCGGTAAATGGAATTCTGCATTTAAATGCCAGTATAAAAATAAAATAAAGAATAAAATAGGAGAGGATAAAATGCTTGTGGAGGTCTGGGCAGTCAAACCTTGGTGACCAGCCCCATTTACCAGGCAACAGGAGAAATTACTTAGAACCTCAATGTCGTCAGGTTTGGGAGAAACCTTAATGAAACCATCTAAGAATGATTAAAATTGACTCCTCTGCCTCATTCCAATCGTCTTTCTCTTCCCCACATTATGTGTTAAATGACTCACATAACACATGTTTGCGTCTCTTCTCAAACCAGTATTGCCATGGTACATTTTCTCTCCTTTTGAGTGATTTCTAGGGAATTAATTGGCTGGTTTAGAGAACATTCTTTAAGCTTTGTAGCCTGGTGCTCCCTGCCAATGCAGGTGAAGTCATCATGGTGGGAAGTCCTATTATCAGAAACACCCATCTCAATCACCCTGAGGACCCAGCTCCAATTACAGTCTTCCCTGACCTTGGCAGGCAGAGGTGAATGTGTCCTCATGAAGGCTCAGCTACCCCAGTTGGTATTCCCTGGCATTTACATGTGTGGTTATATGTATTCCACAGTACGTACAGGCATGGTTATATGCACCTCTTCCTGCCCCCCAAACTGGCTTGGGGAATTCATTGAGGGTAGGGGAAATGTCAAATCCACTTGGCATTCCTGATTCCTGGCATAATTCCCAGCTCACAGGAAACATTTATAAACTTTTGGGGAAAGAATGAAGGAATAAGACATTGCTAAGGGTGTCATAACCCCTACTAATTAGCTGGACAAGTCTCAGAAAAGGATCAAAACACTCATTAGTCTTACAGACCCTTGAGTTTTCCTCAATTTCCCGGGTTGTGACTACAATGGTCTCCACAAGTTCAGAAATGTCTACGTCTTCGCTTGCCATACCAATGTAAAGACAACTCTTCATACTTTTATATTCGGGGCCTGCAGTAAGAAAGAACAGTCAAAACATGGTTCCCGAGCCCTCTGGCACAAAACACAGGCCCACTCTCATATATAACAATATGACCATGCAAAAGAAGTCTTTTTGGAGACTCTAACAAGGGTGGGGGGAAAGGTCCTGAAAGGCTGTGGGAACAACACCTTCACACAGAACTAAAGGAAAGTTTCCTCCAAAGAGATCAAACCTATTTTCTTGAAGCCAATTAGAAAATGTCCAAAGGTCACAGGTACTTTAGAAAAATAATTACCCATTTTGAATGTAAGGTCAGATTCCAATTCATTTAACTTTTTCAGGAGTCCAGCATGGATCTTTTCCCCTTCAGGATCTGATTTCAAACTGTTCTTATCATCATTAGCATGTTCATACCTATAAACAATATCAAACAACATTATTTCAATTTAAAAAATCAAATGTCCCTCCAGGCACAGAATTATAGGCAGAGCAAAAACCACAAGAGATTAACCAGACTGTGAAATGAGATAATGGGCAAAAGAACTATTTAATAGTGTCTTAAGACCAAAAATGTTCAAGAACGTCACAGGAAAGCCTAAGTCTTTAGGTCTGTGGACATAACAAAGAGAGGCAAGGCCTGGAAGTCATATAAAAGGAGACTTGCCTCATTTTTAAGGGACCTAAAACGCAGCCACAGGACTGTCTACATGGAATTTCCTCTCCACGGGGAATTGGGTGTTTTTTCCCTTACTGATTTGTAATGTTCTATATACCCTAAAGAGTAATCATTGATAAGTTACATATATCCACCATGAGATCTAACAATTAAGTTTGTAAACTCATCTTAGAAAAAAAATGCTACATAGCTCTTTCTGAATATCACTACTGTCACCTTCGAAGCATTCCCCTTGAGAAGCTATGCACTGATATGAGCACCTAGTAAACCCTTCAAAGCAATTTTGGATCTTTTTCTGGTATAGCCCTCAAAGCTGTGATCATATTACCCTTGATGCCCTGAACGTGATCCAAATGTCTTCCTCTCAATACTTCCTTTATCTTAAGGAAAAAAGTCAGTGGGGGCCAGATCAGGTGAGGAAGGTGTGTGTTCCAACAGAGTTGTTTGTTTACTGGCTAAAGTTCCCTCACGGATAGTGTCATGTGTGTTGGTGCATTGCTGTAATGCAACAGGCACGAGTTCTTAGCCAAGATTTTTAGTTAAGGTTTTCCTATTTCTCTGTTGATGTCTATTTGGTCTGCTGTGCTTCTCACAGTCAGATGATGATTTTGCTGCATAACTGACAAATTTTTGCTGTTTTCATCAGTTCTGCTCTTTACTGGCTTCCCTGACCTCTCTTTATCAGGGATGCTTTCTCTCCCCTCAGAAAAACAATAATCCACTTGTACACTGACATTTTTTTCATGGCATTATTTCCATAAACTTAGACTAACATGTCCCTTATTTCACTTCCACTCTTGTCAAGTTTAACAAGAAATTTATGAATGTTTGTTCACTGCTCTAATTCAAGCTCTGACATTCCCGAGATGCCACACAAAAATACACAATAAAGAATGCCACTCGGCAAGATACCACATGTTGACACAAATACAACTGTGAGACACTGATATGCCAAGATTATGAAACCTTACTGGATTATTTGTACAGTGTTGCCAATGTAAGCACACGGTGGCAAGTTCATGAACTTAATTATCAGACCTCATATTTCTTCTCCTAGGTACTTGAGAACATATAGCAACTCTGACCTCAATCCGTACACTGGGGGCCGAGTCACCTGCCTATACTGTACTTCTGTAAATGCCCAGGAAATCTAGTTGAATTTTCATTGGACAAGTATATTGTGATTATATATATTTATCCTGGATTTCTAAGCTGGCTGGTTCACAAAATGACCCACCCATGTTCTTTATACAGCAAAGTCTCTAAGAGCAAATAGCAACCTGAAACTTTACCTGACAACCCCTATTCCAGGCCAGTTAGGGTCATCAACATATAAGAGACCTGCTGTTCCTTCCACTTCCTGTTTGAACTCCTCTCGCAGCTGCAGTGTACAGCTCAGAACCGGCAGCTTGCTCTGTATATAGGCTACCAGCTGATCCACATCCTCTGCCCGGGTTCCTAAACCTGAGGACATTCACACAATGTTAGAGAAAGGCTTAGAGGATGACTAAACAGAGGGTAGGGCAACCCCTTCCACTACTGGGAAGGTTAAAAGCTCCAGGTATATTTAATTAGCTGGAGCTGAGAGCTTAAAAAAAAAAAAAAAAAAAAAGCCACTCAACCCAGATATGAAAGAATCAGGTGTTAGAATTTTTTGACATAGCCACCATTGACATACAATGAAACACTTCAATATAGAAATCAGACTCTTCATGGAAAGCCCAGGCAGGTTATAAACATTATACCACAGATTAGAAACAAAAAAGCAACCACAGATCCCCTCTTTACACAATTACAAAGAGAAAGGGAAGTATTGTGGTGATCTGTGTCCCCACAGAGGAAGGGCAGAAAGATGGTGACAGCACCAAGTCGTTTCAAGGTCAGGGTTTGAGAGGTCTCAAGAGTCTTTATGGTGGCTTTTTCTTTGTAGGACACATGCCTCCATTTCCTTACTTTAATATCTTTGAGAAAACATCTCTCCCAAGATCCTAAAAACAGCTTATGAAAAATAACTAAACATTTTTTTCAGAATGTTGAAGTCATTTTGCAAAAAAGCACAACCAGCAAACTTTTTTTTTTTTGAGACAGTTGCCCAGGCTAGAGTGCCAGAGTGTCAATCTACCTTATAGCACCCTCAAACTTCTGGGCTTAAGGAATCCTCCTGCCTCAACCTCCCAAGTAGCTGGGACTACAGACACTGGCCACAACACCTGGCTAATTTTTTTTTTTTTTTTTTAGTAGAGACAAGGACCTCACTCTTGCTCAGGCTGGTCTCGAACTCCTGAGCTCAAATGATCCACCCACCTCAGCCTCCCAGAATACCAGGATTACAGGCATGAGCCACCTTGCCTGGACCACAACCAAATTTTTTTTTTTGGAGACAGAGTCTCACTATGTCACCCTAGGTAGAGTGCCCTGGTGTCACAGCTCATAGCAACCTCAAACTCATGGGCTTAAGTGATTCTCTTGCCTCATCCTTCTAAGTAGCTGGGACTACAGGCACTCGCCACAACACCTATTTTTAGAGACGAGGTTTCACTCTAGCTTAGGCTGGTCTTGAACCTGTGAGCTAAGGCAATCTACCTGCTTCAGCCTCCCAAAATGCTAGGATTACAGGTGTGAGCCACCACACCCAGCCCTTTTTTTTTTATTTTTTGAGACACGGTCTCATTTTGTCACCCTCAGTAGAGTGCAGTGGCATCATAACTCAAAGCAACCTCAATCTTTTGGGCCCAAGTGATCCTCTTGCCTCAGCCTCCCTAGTAGCTGCGACTACAGGCATCTGCCACAACACCCAGCTATTTTTAAAGGTAGAGTCTCACACTTGCTTAGGCTGCTCTCAAGTCCTGACCTCAAGTGATCCACCTGCCGTGGCGTCCCAGAGTGCTAGGATTATAGGTGTGAGCCACCACACTTGGTGTTGGAGGAGCTTTAAAAATACAGATGTCCAGGCTCACTGCCAGAGAAGGAAATCTGCATCTCTGTAGGGGGTAGCTGCTGGTAGTTTTCAAATCTCCACAGGTGAGAGAGATAATAGAAAATTTCTCTAATAATAGAAAACTAAGGGTCCTAGTACATCAAAATACAGTAATTCAAGTGACTTTAGTAGTCTAAATCCAAGATGTTATGCTGGAATGCTAATCCATCCAAATTTAGTCCCAAAGTAAAGAAAAAGCCCCTCTTTTTGGAAATGCTGATTAACTACAGGTGAAGAGAACATTACAAGGGAAAGGTAATCAGCCTGGAGTTTGACAGACATGAAAATGTTTCTCCCTAGAAAAAAAGTCAGGGAAATCTGAGACTGGCTACCTGCTGCTGTCATCAAAGGGTTGAACCGCATACATGTGCCCTCCACTTCCAGATCCATGACAGTGAGGCCACTCAGAGGCACCAGCTGTTTCAGCTGTTCTCCCAGCTGTAGGGAAAGGACAGTGCACTTGCTGCTGTAATGACGGCATCAAACGTCTTCAAGACCTACCCTCATCCACTCAGCCTCAGACCAAAGAGCCTCCTGTTTTGATTGTCTTTGAAAACTTACAGTAACTTATTTCTAAAAACAGTAAATTTTACATTTTTTCTTACTAATAAATACAAGTTCATTATAGAAAAATCTAGGAATATAGTTAAACCAAAAGAAGAAAATACCCACAATACACCATTCAAAAACACTCACTGTCAACATTTGGTAACTCTCCCAGGGTCTTTTCTCTGTGAGTAGGGCGAGTGTATTTTTTTTCTCATCATAAAACATGACATTCTACACTGTTTAGTAATCTGCATTTTTCCATTTAATTTATGGTAAGCATTTCCCTTCTGCCTCAAACATTCAGCTTCATGGTTTCTAATGGGTGCCTTGACCTCCACTGGATACATGTACCACAACTTATTTACCAAGCCCTCTATGTTGGGCACATCTAATATGCTAGGACTGACACTGCTGTGGTGAACATCCTTTCACTATTTGGAATAAATACCCTAGAGGTACCATTTCAGTGTCAAAAAAGCCATAAGGACTTTGATCCACAATGCCCACTTGTGAAAGGAATTCAGTGGACTCTGGCTGTGCTCCTCCTCAGAGTATTATACACACAACTCCAGAGCAGCTGCACTACAGTTCATGCTATTGCATGTTGTTTTACTTATAAGAAAGCAAGAACGTGATCACATGAGGAAACTGAGGGAACAATGCTAACGGGACCTGCCAGAGATGACACAATAGGTCAAACACTGATCCAATTTGGAAAAGAACCCCAGAAGAGGCCAGCACCTTCACAGGAAGCTCCCTCCTATGGTGATTTCCTATATATAACTATGTGTTATCCTAACAATCAGGGCAGGTGGTGATGCCCTAGATGTAAAAGAAAAAGCTGACGGCTGCCATTCTTACCCAGCGATTCAGCGCATCACAAGAGTGTCTCTCCCGGCTGACTGTTGAAGGTGCCATGTTGGGTGCTGAGACAGCTTTAAATGTTGGATCTGACACTAAAATGTAGAAAGGAGAGTAACTCCTAGAAACACGGCTAACTAAAACAGATACCCCTCCAATTCCATCTCACTAGATCCCACTATTAACCCAAGGGAATAGTCTTATGTATTACTGAAACCAAATGTACATACATCTGATAGGTTTAAAGTTTCACTTTTTTCTCATGAATTATATAACACTTGAATGTTCACACACAACATTCAACATTCACATTCATTCATTCACACAAATACAATTCTTAATTTCATTTAAAAGAAGGTTTTCTTAAAAAAAGAAAAGTTTTCTTTCAAGGAATTCAAAGCAAATTTTGCAAATTAGTGACTAGTTTACCAAGTACCATGTAAGGTCACTCAGAGCACCAAAGCATATCCAAATTGGGCTTCACAAGAGTATTCTCCACTCATCATTCTTCACCTACTCATGCCAGGTGCTGTGCCTGACACTAGGATATATGGCAGACTAGGTTTTTGCAATTTTACATTCTAGTTGAGGAAGACCATAAGAAAAGAAATCAATACATGTTGTTAGTGCCATGAAAGATGGTTGGGAATCTGATATATGATGGAGTCATTTATCATACAGGGACAGGGAAGGACAGATAGGGAAGGAAGGTTCTCTGAGAGGTGGACACTCGGTGGAGATCTAAATGGTAAGAGGGAGCCAGCCATCAGATGAGGAGGAGAAACGCACGAGAAGTGTTGGAATGGCAAGCAGCCAGGCCTTGCACTCAGACACAGCAGTATTCTAGGAGCAAGAAGACTGGTGTGACTGACATACAATCAGCAGGAGGGAACACAGGCTGAGAGGAAGTCAGAGAAGCAGCTGGAGCAGAGCATGTAGGCCAGTGGTTCTCAACCTTCCTAATGCCCCAGTCCTTTAATACAGTCCCTGTGAGTTGTGACCCACAGGTTGAGAACTGCTGACATGGGCTCTGGGAAGAGCTGATTTCATTCAGCTGAAATGGTAAGATGTCCACAAGGTTCTGACAAGGGAGTGATACAATGTGACTTCACCTCAAATGGAAGTGTGGAGGTGGAGAACATAGGACAGAGATCAGCTGAGAGGAGCCTATAGCTATCCATATAAAAAATAATGGTCCTTGGACTAGGCTGGTTGCACTTGGAACTTTTTTAAAAATGGAGATACCTGGGTTCAACTTACTGAATTAAAACACATGGGAACCAGGTCAAATGACTCTTTTTTAGCTACTCCAGCACTGGTCCAGGGGCTGGCATGCAGGAACCACTAGTTTAATCACAGCAAACTATCAGCAAAATGAGAAGCCATTTGGGACTGAAATTCTTGTAAATACTATTAAATTATGACTAATAATTTTAATAATGCAAATATTTGGACTATCTATTTAACTTGAAATGGTATCAAACTCAAAGTCCTCAAACACAGATATAAAAATAACTTTGTTTTCAAAATCACCTACCTGAGCTTGTTAACTCCTGGAAAAATCTGAACACCACTACTGGAGAGCTGAGTTCATCTTCCACCTGCAAAAATGGAAGTCTGCTATTACCAAGTAATATTAAATTCTAAAGTCCTACAAAATGAAATGGTGAGTTTGAAAAATAGGCTAAAGATGTTCTAATTTGTAAAAAAATTCAATGGTTGATTTCAGTTGCTAGAGAAACAAAAATCAAAACCAAGGGTTTAGTAAAATTTCTAAAAATAAGTATGAACCAGCCCTGAAGGTACACTGTAATTTATAAGATACTTAATACTCGTTAAAAATTAAGATAATTTTAATGATAATGTTAACACAGGTCTAACATTAAAGATCAAACAAGGTGAGGAGAAAGTAGAACTAGAATCCATACTCAAAGAGCCAATGCTCTCAACAGTCCCAGAAATTCAGAATTTACTATAACTTTTTATACTCAGGGGGTATTAAAAAAAAAAGTAACAAGTACTTTCTTCTCACTCTGTAAAACTTCCAGAACAGGATAAAAGTCCTGCTAGCAATATAGATAATCACAATCTAGAACTCTACTTACTTTCTAAATATATTTACTTCTATTTAGTATTTATACCCAGTACTTATTATTCAAGAAAGGCATCAGACAACTTCTTTAATGTATTTCATAGCAGACGAAAACCCGCACTACATCATGATAATCTAGCACTAATGTGTCTATACAAATGTACGGTCAGCTCTCAGCTACAGCCTGGGTCAGGGGGCACAGGGAGCAGCGATGTCCTTAGCAGGCTCTGTGCTATTTTCTGGTAGCGTGGGTGGTACTTGGAGAGAAGATATCTAAGTATTCAACAATGTCAGCACTGTAACTCTAGTCACAAAACTTATGTTCCAAGGCTCCAAGTGTGTTGACTCATTAGCAGGGCCAAAAGTTAGTGCTAAATTGGAACAACAGGAGTAGCTGGCCCAAGATCTTTTTTAGAAATTTTTCAAAGAACTGTATGGATATGATTCAAATCAAGCAAGATTTGTATTCTTATCTTCCCACTATTTATTCAGCCAGTTTCTGTGCTAAATGCTTTCATATCTATCATCTCCTTTAACCCTCATATAAACAAACAAAACTACTGATAATTTCAAAGGTGAAGGGACTTAATATTTAAATACAAGGGAGGAAGCCCAATAAGCAAGTAGGAACAAAAAAGGACTCAAAATAATGCACTCATTCTCCCATCCTCAGTTAAGAGAAGGCACAATGATCTGAGGAACAAGATGTCTACACAGACATATTATGATCATCTTTTCTGTCTTTGAACTCAGCGGTCTCATATATCATTGTGCAGAAGAAATACTATACAGGGTTATATACATACACTTCTGGTTTAAGCTACATGACAGACAGCTAATACTGAAGTTAGCAATTCTAACATTGGATTAAATATAACTGATGACCAGAAAAAGCTTAAACCATTGCTAGGCTCACAGAAAAAAAGATGCATTCAGAAAGCAGAGGGAAGAGATGGCTGTAAGCTGAACTACAAAGGAAGGGCAGCATATCTGGGACCTGGCACTTGGCTTTCACGGCCTTTTTTTTTCTTTTTCAGACAGGATCTTGGGTTCATTGACTGGGGTTAGGTTGCAGTGGCATCGCCACAGATCACGGCAACTTCAAACTCCTGGGCGCACTCAATCCTTCTGCCTCAGCCTCCTGAATAACTAGGACTATAGCTGTGTGCCACCACACCCATATTTTTTATTCTTTGTAGAGATAGGGGTCTTACCATGTTATTTAGCTGGTCTCAAACTCCTGGCCTCAAGAATCCTCTCTGCTCTGCCTCCCACAGTGCCAGGACTACAATACAAGCCACCATGCCCAGCTAGGTCTTGGGTTTTAAGGCCCACATGATGGACAGTAATGAGTCTACACAAAGGCTTTATGAATCTTTATTTTATAAAAATTTTTTATAGGCAAAAATTGTCAACAAACATGATTTCAGACAGTAACAAGTGTAATGAAAAGACCGCAGGGAATAGAGAGTGATGGATGGTCATGGGAAGTTATCTTTAGGGTGGTCAGGAAAGTCCTTTCTGAAGAGGTGAGATCTGAACTACAATTTGTAAGAAACCAGCCATCAGAAAAATTGGCCAAGTGTGGGGGCTGGAGGCAGTGTTTCTTAGGCAGAAGGACAGCAGGTACAAAGGAGGGTTGTGAGGGTTAAATGAAATAATGCATGTTTAGGTATCTATAGTACCACATGTGGTCTCTAAGAAGCACTTCACAAGCAGCAACTGGAATGGCGCTGATGATTAACAGGCCACAATGCCTCATGGTATTTGTCAATTACTGCATCCTCTAATGGAAAAAGCAGCCGCTGGAAGAAGGGACAAAGAAGGGTTTATGCATGGACCATGTGCAGCCTTACAAAGATGCTCCAAAATAACTGGAGATTAATACCATCAGATACCTCTCACACTTAAGGAAGAGGAAATAGTGAAGAGGTGAGGAAGAGCCGAGTGGCTCAGTAAGGCAGGGACAGGGAAAGGGTCCAGGCCCGGCACTGCCTCAATTCCTAACAGTCTGCTCAACGTAGTCCATAATTTGCATCTGTTTGAAATCAGAAGAGTTCAACCAATACACTTTCATTTGACAGCTGAGCTCACATGCTCAGGTTAAGAAAGTGACTCTGTCACAAGGTCACCCCATGGCATCTTGAAAGTAAAACCCAAACCTCTTGATCTATACTGCTCCATTCTGCTTCCCTAATGGTACCTCTTCATCCAAAGTTCCCCCAACTAGAATTTGGGTCAACTGGCCCAGGCTCCATCTCAGAAGGCAATGCAGAGTAGCTACTTCTCTTAAACAAATCGTCTTCTAAAACAGAAACGGTACTAACTGGAACCCCCAAAAACTCAAAAATTAGTTTTTAAAAAATCTTTTTTACAAAGTTTTCTAGAGACAATGTCTTGCTCTGTTGAGCAGGCTGGCTTGAGATCACAGCTCACTGCAGCCTCAAACTTCTGAGCATGAGCAATCTTCTTGCCTCAGCCTCCTGAGTAGCTGGGACAACAAGTGCCCACCTATAATGCCTGGCTATGTTTTTGTAGAGAAGAAATATGGTCTTGTTATGTTGTCCAGGTTGATCTTGAACTCCTAGGCCTAAGTGATCTTCCCTCCAGGCCTCCCTAAGTGCTGGAATTACACGCATGAGCCACTGTGCCCAACCTCAAAAATTAGTTTTAAACTTTACTACTATAACCTGCAGAATTGTCAAAGAATTATCACTCAGTGAACCTATTTAAATCAGAATTTGACCTATAAATTGCCTAAAATTCTAAAATATAATAAAGCAAAACATGATGACATTCAAATCTGAAGTGACACTCATTCTTGGTTGATAGCTCTGCTAAATCCTCATTTCTTTGTCTAGGTATTATCCCTGGGGAGTACTCTATGACAGATTCATTTTAGGAAGACACCAGAGGTTAAGAGTAAGGTTGCTTGTCTCTTCCTCCTCTTACCTTATGCAAATAAAAACTCTGATGTCAGAAGGTTTCAGAAAGAGCCCAAAGCATTCTGAGAGACAAAACGATTTTTTTTTTTTTTTTTTAGAGACAGAGTCTTATTTTGTCGCCCTTGGTAGAGTGCTGTGGCATCACAGCTCACAGCAACCTCCAACTCTTGGGCTTAGGCGATTCTCTTGCCTCAGCCTCCCGAGCAGCTGAGACTACAGACACCCGTGACAATGCCTGGCTATTTTTGTTGTTGTTGTTGCAGTTTGGCTGGGGCTGGGTTCGAACCCAGCACCCTCAGTATACAGGGCCGGCACCCTATTCACTGAGCCACAGGCACCGCCCACAAAACGATTTTTTATTTCAGTTAGATGGGTATTCTAAAGTTCTTAGGCAGGTGAAGTTAATGGTGTTCATAAGATCTTTGTGCAAATCTAAATTTTAGCAGAATAAATAGGTTATATGGAAGGCACTAAGGAATTTAAACATGGTACAGCAAAAAGTTCTTGGCTTCCGGATAACTGTATAATTAGGTCAAATATATGTATGACTTTCTTTCAAACAATATGTGTGTGTGAGTGTTTTAAGGGAGCTGCCAAAATTCCACTGAAATGTATCAGCTCTGGAGAAAACCATTCTAAGTTATTGAAGTTTAAAACAAGTAATTTATTTCAAAAATAGATGAAATTATATACTATACCAAGATTTTGATGTGGTTCACTTTCTTCAAACTTTCCTGCAATCGTTGACTCTGCAAATGACAAAAAACAGCTTATATAATTTCATTAGACTGACATAACTGGCTTTCTTAAGGGTCTTTACAGGTCTGCAAACAAGGATCTCAAGCAAAATCATCTGCAACTTGGTGATTTCTAAGTTTGGCCAACAATTTTTGCATTTCAAAATCTGCAAATATTCCCCAGTTCAAAGTTACATGTAGTGAATTGGGAAAAGCTGTTTCTAATGAGACACGTTAATTCATCATATTGGCAATGTAAGCCAATCATTCAAAAAACACTGAGTGCAAATGTGTACAAATCACAGTATTGAATATGGGGGGAGACCAATGACAAGTCAGAGAACACAGTGTGCTCAAGAGGTGGAGGCTCACGCCTATCATCCTAGCACTCCGTGAGGCTGAGGCAGGTGGACTGCTTGAGCTCACAAATTCAAGACCAGCCTGAGCAAAAGTGAGACCTCATCTCTACCAAAAATAGAAAAACCAAGACAAGAGGATCTCTTGAGTCCAAGAGTTGGAAGTTGCTGTGAGTTATGATGCTATCGCACTCTACCCAGGGCAACAGCTTGAGACAAAAAAAAAAAAAAAAGTGCTGGTAAAGGCATGGTTCTGCCACTTATCACCTGCAGGTTCCTTTATAAATTACTTAATTTGCCATTTACTACCTATGACCTTAGACAAGTTAAATAACTTGTCTGTGCTTCAGTTTCCTGAACTATAAAAAGATGATAGTATCTCTCTTTAGGGTTGTTGTGAAGACTGACTTGACAATACAGTATGTACTTAGAAGCAGAACATAGTGTACATTATGTAAGTGATGGCTACTGTCATTATCAATACCATCAGTACCACTATATTAATGTTAACCCATTCCCTCATCACTGATAGGGGAATAGTAATAGTATCCAATTCATGCAATTGGGGCACATTAATTAAACTTACATTCTAGGGAAGTTGTAGGGATGAAACGAGACGACGTACAGAAAGTTAATTCGTGGTACCTGGCACTGAGTAAATGCTCTACCCAAGAAGAAAATGATGCTGATGATGACAACGAGAAGGAGGAAGAGGAAAAGGAGAATACTGATTTCTGCTCTCAGGAAATGCTTAGTATGAACATAAGGTATGAATGTACACAGATATCCACATCTGCTACATTTCCATGCAGTTTAACATGTGCATTTAGCATGGGTGACTCAATAGTAAGATTTCATTCAAATCCTCAAGAGTATTCGAGATCAGCTAGTTTTTGTTTCAAGGAGGATACCAGAGCTACAAGGACCTCAAGGGTTTGGTAGTTAATGCCATTATTTTCCTGTACTCCACAGGCCAAGGGGAATTGAAAAATTCTCCCTTGAGTACCTAAACCTTCCTTAAATTGACTAAGTTACTTCAGCAATAAAAGCATCTCTTTCCTAAAAAACAAACCTCAAAATGTGAGCTAATAATAGCACAATGAGAGCACTTCTAAAAATGTGGTGCTTCTGTAAGCATAATGAGCATAAATCTGAAAATGATTTTTTAATATAAAAATGAACTATCCTAATATACCATACACCAAAAAACTGCTACCAAAGCAATATGAAAATACTAATTTTTCTTAAATATAAAAATGATACTTAAGGGCCAATTCCCCAAGAATATGTTTAAAATAAAGGTTTAAACCAATATTTGTAACTTATTATAGGATCTGGTACTACCGTAAAAGCTTTACATGTATCAACTCGTCAAGTCTTCACAAAGTTCTCTCTTACCCCTATTTCATACATGAATGAATGGAGGAATTGAGAGGTGACATGCTTCTGAGCTCAGACAGGGTCTCACACTGCATAAATGACTTTTTTTTTTTGCTTTCTAAATGCTAAAATCTGAATGTTTGTGTCCTCCCAGAATTCATCTGTTGAAACCTAATCCTTTAAGGCAAGAGTATTAAGAAATGAGGCCTATAAGAAGTGATTAGGATATGAGGATAGAGACCTCATGAATGGGATCAGTGCCCTTATAAAAGAGGGTAAAGGAAATGTGTTCGCCCCTTTGGCTATGTGAAGACATGTGGAAGTGGCCGTGTCAGGAACAGGCCCTCACTGGACGCCAAATCTGCTGGCACCCTGATTTGGATTTCTCAGCCTCCAGAACTGTAAGCAATATATGTCTGCTATTCACAAACTATCCATTCTAACGTGCTTTGTTACAGCAGCCCCAACAGACTAAGACACTAAACTACAGCAAAACTGTATGTTTTTCACTATCAGAACACCTGAAATGGAAAGAGGATTAGACTTGTCCCCAGAGTCCTAAAATTTGGGACCCCATCCAGCTGGTATTAAAAATTTCCATGCCTTCTATAACCAACCTTTAACTTTGACCCTGGACAATCAGTTAGTCATGGGGAACAAAGAAGAAAGCTCTCCCCGGCCCCCAACTTTCTGCATGCTTCTTCACTCCTCAGAAGTCATCTGGTGACTCCACTTATCCCAAGCTGAAAGTGGTATTCCTTTTTGTCTAATTTCATCTGAACACAAACGCTAAGACAATCCCAACAGTCTGTCCCAGAACTCTGAACAAGCAAATACATGTGCATTTAGTCTGCTTGCCTACAAGATGGTCAACTCACACAACAAGGTTCTAAAATGAAGGTACATAATGAAATGTTTTCTGGTTCTGCTTTTGCCAAAAAGTCTTTGTGATTCATTTATTTATTTATTTATATGAGCATCTCACTATGTTGCAGCTCACAGCAACCTCCAACTCTTGGGCTTCAGTGAATCTCTTGCCTCAGCCTCCCAAGTAGCTGGGACTACAGGCACCCGCCACAATGCCTGACTATTTTTTGTTGCAGTTGTCGTTGTTTAGCTGGCCCGGGCCTGGTTCAAACCCACCAGCCTCCGTGTATTTGGCTCCCACCTTAACCACTGTGCTTTGGGCACCGAGCCGTTTTCGACTCATTTAATGTAAGGTTTCTACTCACCAGTTGGCAGGCATGCTTTATTCTCTCCACAATCCCATCAAGTCCCAAGTATTGTAAAGATAACCACAGTGGCAGGGCACGAAGTTTGTCTGCTGGCTTATTTGATGTAAGACCGGCAACTAAAGTCTAAAAAAAGCCAATACAGGTTTATTAACAACTGAAATCTTATGCTACAGAACTAACTAGCAACTACTTACTACACACTCAGCAAATAACAGATGCCATGCTAAACACTGGCTAGCATTATCCATTTGATCTTTTAAAAGCTCTAGGAAGTAAGTATTCTAAGTAACTCAGTAGACCTTGTTTTGTCCAAGGGTCCATGGCTAAGGAGTAGCAAAGCCAGGATGACAATCCAAACAGGTTCACATCCCAGAGCAACAGCTCCTGACATTCAAGAGGTAGCCCCTTCAAGGTTCCTCTGAGCATCCTTGAATACCTGGCCATTATCAACTGAGCAAAACATAAACTATTTTAGCAGTAATCACTGAAATCTTACTTTGCACATGCCTATCACTAACTGACCTATTATCAAGAACTGCAAGTATGATTTTTAAGAAGTATGTTATAACCAATGTGGATTCAGAACATTAAAATGCTCCCACTCAGCAATTCCACTTCTGAGAATCTATCTAAAGAAATAATTTGAAATGTAGGAAGATATTCATTGCCTCATTATTTCAATAAAAATTTGAAGACATCTTAAAAATTCACAACTGGAGACTAAGTAGTGACAGAGTATTACACAATTGTTAAAATTTCATAAAAGATTCTTCATACAGGAGGCACCTGTAGCTCAATGGGTAGGGTGCTAGCCACATACACCCAGGCTGGTGGGTTCAAACCCAGCCTGGCCCAGCTAAACAACAATGACAACTGCAACAAAAAATGGCTAGGCATTGTGGTGGGCGCCTGTAGTCCCAGCTACGTGAGGGGCCATGGCAAGAGAATCACTTAAGCCCAAGAGTTGGAGATTGCTGTGAGCTGTGACACCACAGTACTCTACTGAGGGCAACATAGTAAGACTCTGTCTCAAGAGAAAAAAAAAAAATTCTTCATATACATAGGGAAGTATGTAGTGAACAGAAAAATATATATATGGTTTAACTTATGTAAATCTTTTTCTGGAAAAAAATGCAATGTAAGTGGAATTAAGGATATTTCTCACCTTTTGTTTTTCTGTATTTTGCACTTAAAGTCAATAATGAGTATTAACTACTCCACTCCCACTCCCCCTCCAGTGAGAATAAGCTCACCAAGGCAGGATCATCATGTTTATAGAGAGTCACTGCAGGAACAGCTGGCAAACCCAGCCACGGGCCAGGAGTCATTGTCATGCTATCACATTTGGTTGCAGCCTGCCAAAAAAGGAATAACTCCTTGTTAGATTACGAGAACACACTAAACCCGACACCATTTTTATGAATGTGAAAGCCATTAAGGATTCAGCGGATTTAAGTTCCTTCTTTAAAACACTAATATTTAGTAAATCAACAACATACCAGCACTGATGAGGAGACATAACCTAGAGCCAATGTTGCCAGATTCACACTGGAAGAAAAAAACACCAATCTAAGAACTAATTATTTAATGTTGCTTATTCACTAAGTATGTACTTTAAAAAAAAGTCTGTGCTGTTGCAAGTTGACATGTGTCTTTCAGCTTTGTTATTAGCTTTTATAACAGCAACAGAAGATATAGTTTATACAATTTCAGAAAAACCTTCAAAATGCATTCAAGTCAATAATGTGGGGGGAAAAAAGTGTTTCAGGGGACACCTCCTACTCATTTAATATAATGGTAGCATTACTCTCTACCTTTCACAGCTCCTCTTCTCTGGTCATGTTTTTCTCAGGAATAAAATAAAAGACACCTGCCTTGTATGACATGGTGGGTATGGGCTGCTAGGGCTGCCCTGCATCCTCTCCCTCTTAATAGCTCTCCAACAGTCTTTTGGCAAACCACCTCAATCCTCTCTAGCAACTACCATGTGCTCCAGAGCTGGGCAAACAACCTAAACCATCAGGGGATTAATTCTCCCTGGCCACAGTGATTGGATCAGTATGAGATTTGTTAGACCTTCTGACCCACTGAATACAAAGCTGGAAAGAAGGCTGGAGTTTCTGGAGCTACTTTGCACTGTAATAGGCAAGTATGGTCCACAAACAGCTAACACAGTGGAATCAAGTCAAGTGACTGTGATAAAGGGAGGGACTGAGGAGGAAGACACTGAATCCTGGTTGACACTGGGCCTAAAGCCAATCCTAACATTGGTCTTTTTAGTTATCTTTGACAATAAAATCTCTTTTTGCCTACCAAAAGAGCCCTCAGTGATAAATACCTCTAAAAAGTGATAGCCTAAATGTCCATCCACTCTTCATGAGGATTCTGTAGGGCCCAACCTCGGACCTACTCACCCCTCCACGTGAAGCCATATGCCATACTGCTCACAGAGTTCTTTCAATCGTCCAATCTTGTCTGTGTGTCCTACTGCTGCAGTTCCTAGGATAAAACAAATAAGCAAGGATATTAAAGGAACAAACATTTTCTGACCCTTTACAGCATTTAAGAGCTTTTATACATATTATCTCCCTAGGAGGGAAGTGGCTTATTACATCCCTGTTTTCTTTGTGGACTGACTTCAAATTAACTTTTCCAAGTTGACTTATGCAAGTTTTGAAAAATGTGGATTCTCCATTGTATGTTTTTGTTATTGAAATCTTTTACCAACTTTCTTTCTGTCTACTTGATCTGTTGATTAATGAGAAATATATTCAACTCTCCCACCACAACTATAGGTTTGTCAATGTACACGTGTGTATCAGTTTTCCTTTAATGTCCCTTTATATATTTCAAAGTTATGTTCACAAGTTTTCAGAACTATTATTTCTTTCAGTAGATGTGTCTTTCATCAATGTGAAGCCTATTTTACCCCAGCCAATATTGCTATGGTACTTTCATTTTGGTTAGCATTTGTCTGAGATATCCTTTCTACCCTTTTATTGTCACTTCTTGGTTATTTTGATTTAGATGTGTCCTTTACAAAAATATATACAGATAAATGTGGGTGCTTTTTGCCCAGGTTCTTTGAATGTGCATTCTGAAGTCAGTTTAAATATATTAAATGCTTTAAGCCACTCCTTTGATAATTCAATTGCACTACAAATTGTGCTGAGCAGAACCCTCTTCAGACAGAGCTTAAGTAAAACATGGAGGCATCCATTCTCCCAACCATCTGAATTTCCAGATAGCAGTATGCCGACTAACACAATTAAAACGAAGTGGTTCTATTGTGAGGTCTATGATAAGAAAAGAGTGAAAACTTTCCCCCCACATATAAATCTCAAATTAAAAAAAATAAAAAAAAACTTAACTGTCACATTTAGTTGAAATGAGATCAAACACCAGTGCATAGGTTGTGCCACATGACCCACTCATCAAAACAAAGCACAATGCTGTTTTAGTGACAGGACCATGTTCAGACTACCTTTTTATATTTCTTGGCAATGTCTGCTGACTAACCCTTAAGATGTGTCTTCTGGGGCTTACAAGTCACAAGGGTAAGTCACTCAGTCACATGCAAATTGCAGCCCTTTCAATCTAACAAGAGTTTGAATATGGGTGGATTTGTGTTTCTTTTTAAAGGAATCAGGCAGGAAGTAGAGGTTTTCTCCTGCTAGCAACAAAGTGGATATTTAAGTGGTGGTTTTTCTTTCTTTCTTTTTTTTTTTTTT